ATCCATCCATCTATCTAGTTCTCCAAAATCAGGTTTGGCTTGAATACTCAAGAGTTTACATACTGTTGTGTGAAGTGCTCTGTTTCAAACTCTTGGAGGCGTCTGAAATTTACAGTGAAGTGGAAAAGGATTTGAAAAATGTCAACATGAAGTGGACACATTCCCTACATTATACTTGCCACATAAGCGCCATTTATCTATCTGTGCTTGTTGAGGATTTATTAACAGACTTTTATGCACATTCACATAGACATATATCTTATTCACTTTGGGGAGTAAATGTTAAAAATGTTAAAAATATGGAGTAAAGCAACTGTAAGCTGTATCCAATTTTGATAGATGTTTTATTTTTAAATAAATTATATTTCAGTACTTCAAAGAACCTTATATATGCACAGAGGACATGCAAGCACGTATAACTTTCTTTGAAATAGCATAGCATATTTATGATAAAAATCTGAATTTTCTTCTGTTAGAAGTGCTTTATGCTACTAGCAATATAGCCAAGTAATCTATGGTATAAATCAAACCTTACATTTTTCAGAGGGTAGATTCCAATCTGGGGAAGTATGCATTAGTTTTCCAAGTTTACAGCATGGTGCACATAGGTTCAGACAGTCACAAAATTACAGAACCTAGAACTGCTTAGAGATCTAGAACTGAATAGGAAAATCTTGGTCAGATTCAAAGACCTCAGGAACTGGTCACGATGTTGAAAAAAATGTGTCCATGGGGATATCATGATGCATATCCTATCTTTTTATAATTGCTTTCCAGTGTCAGACACAACTGTGTAAATCACTGTGTTGTTAAATCATGTCCCATCATTTTCCTCCTTATTCTCCCCATAGATGCCTGTAGTCAAAGTATAGATCACCTTATAGTAACCTTTTTACATGTATATCCCTTGGCTATACATAGTAAATTTCTTATATGACTATTCCATTGCTTTGGAATAAAGGGCAAAACAGAAAAGTCTTAATGTTGATGAGTCCTTTATGCCCCCTGAGCTTGTTTTCTTGTGATAACTGAAGATGATGTGTACTTTGGGTAATGAAACATCTGCAAGAAAACAAGAAAGCTCATAGAGGATCAAGGACGACCCCTCATTACAACTTGGAGTTACAAATATTCTCAGTCTTAATATTCATTGAGTTATCCAGCCAGACAGTAACTAACGTTATGATTGTTGTAAAAATATACTTTTCAAACAATTGTGTAATAGCTTTTCCTCTCAGTTAAGAATTTTGCTAGACATCATTACTGCTGTATCAATGACTCAAATGGGCAGTTTCTAGATCCTAATAAAGCAATGATGCAGTGGTGTTCCAGTTTAAAATGTGGCATCGATCTTGTTCTTCACCTGGGAATTTGAATCACCTGCAAGGTTATGTTTGTTTCTTTGTATAGTGCTCAGTTCTGAAAAAGGAATGGAAAATAACTACCCAATTTCTCCTCATTCAGTTGAGGAAAATTAAAATATGCTTAGTAGCAGTTTCTGTACCCAAGTCCTGTTTCTCACAGGTGATTCCTTGGAGTTCTAAATTCAGTCAGTGTTTCTAGGTCGTGTTGCATTGCTGAGAGATTTCCCCACATCCAGCTATAACTATCATTCAAATGCTGACAAAAGAAGCAAAAAAGTATTGTAGAAGATTTCTAGAGATGTGCCAGAGGTCCTATCTTAGGATAAGAGACATGGAATATTCAAATAAGAAACTTCCTGTCAATGAGCTATTAAACCAGGGGTGATCTGCGTGAGACAGCCCATACGTGAAATAAATAAATTAATCACCAAGTTACAAGATGGAATGACTGAACTTTCCAACAAAAGATTGCCCTCAACTCAATTGGGACTGGAAAACCCATTGTTACATGGTGTGGTCGTTAGGCATCATATGATTGCACCCAATTTTATGACCCTTTTTTGCCATGGTCATTAAATGAATCACACTAATGGTTAAGCAAGACAACAGTTGATCTGTGACCTTCCCCACTGGCTTTCTCACTTTGCTTGTCAAGGGATAGTTGAGAAAGTCGCAGACTTCAGGAAGCTGCAATTGTTGTAAGTGTGAGCTGGTTCCCAAATGCCCGGATCATGATCAAATGAGGATGCTATGATGGGAGTGTGAGATCTGGTTGAAAGCCACTTTTTTCAACGTTGTCATAACTTTGAACAGTCGCTAAACAAGTCAAGGAGTGCCTGTATTAAAACAATATACACTTAGGCCAAATTCTAACTTCATTTCTACCACTGTGGTTTCTGCAGGAGATAAACTTTAAATGAAATGAATGTGCCGAAGATAGGACTAGAATGCAGCTTTGTGCCTAAGATAGACTAGAACTCACAGTCTCCTGGTTTCTATAGTCTGGTGCTTTAATCTCTACACCAAATTGGCTCATTATATTAAACCATGCTAAATCTCTGTTAGTTAAGATATCTTTCTGCTGCTTGATCAAAACTATTATTTTGCAGAAGGAGTATAGGTGAACTGTGTTTTGGTGCTTTTGCTCGTTGCTGTTAGGGTTTTATTTTTATTTGTTTTGAATTTTTAGTATATCAAATTCTTTTAATTCTCTTTATGGTGAAAAGGGATTACAACAATGTTCATCTACTCCCACTGTGATGTTATTGTAAGTTTGCATATGATGAACCTTGTGCGTAAATTATGCTATTGGATCATAATATTTAGCTTGGATGAATGTATGACATCAAATTCCATCTTGGCTGTTACTGACGGTGCTGAGAATGTTATATTTGATCATGCATCTTTCCCTTCATTGGACAGAGATATCATCTGCCTTGAAGGGAAATAACTCTTCTTCTTTTTTTTTTTTACTTTTTAAAATAGCTTTAGATCAGAGTTAGTTTCATCTTTTCCAGTGAAGGTAGGTCTGAGAGTGGTGGTAAATTAGCTCTTAGTACAGCTGTATAGTTTTTGGGTCTATTTCAATTTGGTGTTCAAGAAAGTCATTACATACAGATGTACTAGTTGGTCTAGTGGACGATGTGAGAGGCCAAGATGGTATGTTTGTGCTCCTGATATTTCTATAGCCTTTGGTGTCATTAGCCGTTGATTCCTCCTAGACTGCATTGGGAAGGTTTTTTGGGGAGGAGGGGAATGAGGAGAGAAGTAAGCAATGGCTCTGCTATCTACCACTACTACTAGCATAGTTCTGCTTCTATCCTGGAGTTAGGTGTATGGGGAGATATTTGGGAAGTACTGTTCCATCTTGTAGCCCCTGTACTATGTGTGACTATAAGGTTTCTATTCTGGCTGTTTTAACATCTGTATGTTGTTAGCAGTGGTGGGTTTCAATTTTTTTTAGAATCTCTTATGTAGGTGTGGCCTGCTTTGTGGGAGTGGCTTGCTGGCCATGTGACTGAGTGGGAGTGGCCAGCTTTTAAAATGTGGTGAAACTCACTTAACAATGCTCAGCTTAGCAACCAAAATGTTGGCTCAGAAACTGGCATTTGAAGCACACAAGTCTTAAAGCTGTCAAATTACAAGACCCCACCCTTTAGAAAAAAAACCCCAGGGGTGTTCAAACTTGACAACTTTAAGACTTGTGGACTTCAACTCCCAGAATTCCTCCTCTTGCTCTTCATCTTGATGATGTACGGACAGGCGGGGGAGGGAGCTGGAACCGGTTCTAAATGGCACTGTAGGTTTGTGGAACCTCTTCTATAGAAGAGGTTAGAACTGGCAGGAACCCACCCCTGGTTGTTAGGTACAATTATTAGCAGGGTGGATTATTAAAAAAAAAATTAAAGAATGGATTTTTAAAATTTCAGTAGGATTTTCTTTAAGTTGGATTTTTTTGATTTTTATAAAATTTATTTTAATAAAATGATTTTGGAGTAAAATTCTATCTAAAGATAGTTTTCTATTTAAGATACATTAATTATTTAGTTTATTCAGCATGAAATGGAGTTTAGTTATGTAGCATGAGGCTGTATATTCTACAATATTTACATTTTTTGTAAACTCATTCGATGAATCCAAGCTCTGCAAGCTAAATAGGAAACCTTCATTTTGTTTGCTAATAATAATATTAAAGATTCTAACTACCAGCAGGGATGAGTCCTTACATTTAAGGAGCACCTGTCGTTTCAGATCCATCATGGCAGCGCATCCACTCCTCTGCTGCCTGCCACGTCCTTCACCTTTCTATGTCACTGCCGCATCACCAGCCACCCCATTAAAGTGAATGGGACTGTGTGGTGAATCAATAGCGGGTCACAGGAAGACCCGCTGCAGGACAGAGATGATGGTTGCTCTTTAAAAAATATGATTTAAATTGAGTTGATTTAAATCAAGCCTTTTTACTAGTGATTTAAATCGTGATTTAAATGGACTTGATTTAAACCAAATCCACCCGATTATTAGGAATTGTGGATCTGATTGACACCTTTCCTTAAGTGTGTTTATCCCAAGTTTCTGAGTGTCTCTTTCAATAAATTGTGAAATATTCGAATACGGTATAGAACTATTACATAGTTAACTATTACATGGTTAATTCCCACTTTTAATAAGGAAGTTGATCATCTGATCTGGAATTCTGCAACTATTCTACTCTATTCTATTCTGCTTATAAATTGTGTTGAAATATTCTCCAATGGCAGTGATGTCAGACTTGTATATAGATGAGCCTGGTGGTGTAGTGAGGAGTTGTTACATGAAGGGAAAAACAAAGACGATACATAATCCAAATCTCTTTGAAGCTGAGAGCTGTTTTATAAAGCTCCTCCAGCTGAAGATAGATAAACGCATGAATCAGACTGATATACAATACACATAGTTGTTATAAATCAGTCTTTTCTATCCTGGAACTTGGCTAGGGAGAATGGGAGGAATCGTCTAACCAAATGTATATGGGACTGACAATTATGAGATATTATAAATAGAAGGTATAAATGTGTGTGTTTATTGAAAAACAGCAAGAATTTCCTCTGTGAGTAGATTCATAATTTATGTTTTTTAAAACATTTATCTTGGCAGTGTTTTAGATGACGAGAGCAGCAACCTGCGACAACAAAAGCTTGACAGACAGGTGAGTTTTTAAAATGTTGCTTGTGTTTTTTCATGTTGAAAAGTAGAGCTTACGTAACTGAATCTGTCTAGCGTAAGGAAAATATATTTTATTTAAAACTCAATCTGAAGAGATTCTCACTAATCCAGGTCATGGTTGTCCCAAAGATGCTTTTTTTCATGATGCAACTGGACTTCCTTGTTTTTTCTTTTCTGAAAAAGAAATGTCTTCTTTTTTGGAGATCTTTCACTTCTCATCCAAGAAGCTTCTTCAGTTCTGACAGGATAGTGGAGAATGGAAGGATTTATATTCCTTGTGGACAGGTGGTCATTTGCATCCTTTTAGAGGGTCTTTGAAGCACTTGGAGGTTTACCTGTGTCCTTATGGTCACCTGAGTGGTGCTCCTGGTTCCTATAGTCTGCAATTTTTCCTCTGGAAACCCATTCCTGCTCTCACACCATTCAAAGGGTGTTCATCCCAAATTGTATAGCTAAAAGTCTGTAGAGATTCTCAGTCATCCAGATCATGGTTGTCCCAAAGCGAAACGACTTCAAAAGAAAAAACAAGAAAGTCCAGTTGCCGCCTGGAAAAAGCACCTTTGTGAAAACCATGACCTGGATGACTGAGAATGGTTAATGGAGTACAGTCCAGTGGTGGGTTTCCAATTTTTTTACTACCGGTTTGATCGTGTGTAATGCTTCTGCGCATGTGCAAAAACGTCCGGGTGGGTTGCCAGAACCTCCCACTGCTGCTACTACCAGTTCACCTGATCCAGGCTGAACCGGGAGCAACCTGCCCCTGGTACAGTCCTATACAACACCTACTTCTGAAGTGCTTCCTGTTCTTGTTTTTATTTGAAATATCTAGCTTTCAATTGTTTTCTTTTTATACTGTAAGTAGTGTTTATTTTCACACAGGTATTAGAAAAAGTGAAAAAAATGCACTTTCCATTCTACTGTGGCATTTGAACTAATTTTTGTCTCTTTGTATTCTTTACAGAGAGCATTGCTAGAACAGAAGCAGAAGAAGAAGCGTCAAGAACCAATGATGGTTCAGTCCAATGTAGATAGCCGCACAAGGACCCGTAGAATGAAACAATCTGAAGAACAAGCACCACTAGTTGAGTCTTACCTCAATAGCAACAGCAGCGCTATCTATCATGGTATATACCAATTTATTGTACAATGTTATGTGGACTGACAAGATATGTTACACCAATAAATACCTCTGATAATCAATTCATTTTAGAAAAATAAGAGTAAATTTTGACTTAACACAAAGTTAATACTAGTTATATTCAACTTTAATTGATTAGGTTTTTTTACTGCCATATGATTGCCTGTTGCACAAATAAAAGATAGATGTTAAGCAGGGTGATTACAGCACTGAAGATGTTTCCAATCTCAAAGGCCTGTTCAAAGCCTCAGTCGAAGTGGGCTTTGAGTTGGCTTTATGAAACATTGAGGTGCTTGGTACTCATAGAAGGCCTTTGTCAATCTGCACAGGTCAAAGACAACCCCTTCCAGCTGTTTTGGAAAAGCAGCCATCTGAAAGAAAGTATCTTTCTTTGATGAGTGCTGCTGAGGTGGATCATCTTGCCACAGATCAAATCATTCCTTTGATCTAACTTGAGGCAGCTCCATGAAGCATTGCCTCTTCACACAGGCCTCATCATTTATATATGCAGTTCAAAATGAATTCATATAAATTCATACCCGGCTCAGCAAAGGGTAATTGGATTCTGTACTAATTTACTCAGCATAAATCATGTTTTATTTATGCAATCTGCCCATCTCATAGATATTCTTTCCCTACCTTCCCCTCAGATTGTCTCAGGGAACAAAGGCTGTTGCTTTTATTAATAAGCTGTAACCTAGTTGAAAACAAACAAGCAGATCATTGAACAAATCAATTCAGAGTTCTCATTTGAAATATAAATTGATCAGGGTCAAATTATTTTACTTCAGATATATTATGCCAAGCTTTCTGGAGAATGCTGTAATGTTGGGAAAGACAGAAGAAAAGAAGGAGAAGAAGACAACTTGTAACCTAATAGAAAGCAATAACCATAAATCAACTTGTTTTGTGGGTCTTTCCTTAATGCAAACAGTTTATAAATTTTGTAGGCTTAGAATATGCAGTATTTAGCAATAGATTTCGCTTTTAGACTTATATTCCACTTCACAGTGCTTTACAGCCCTCTCTAAGCGGTTTACAAAGCCAGCATATTGCCCCCAACAATCTGGGTCCTCATTTTACCAACCTCGGAAGGAAGGAAGGCTAAGTCAACTTTGCTATTGATATTTACATAACATTCTTGATGAAGTATTCTATATTTTGGCTACAGATGTTTATCATTTCTGTTTCAGCCATTTGAGACTTAATCCTTTATCAAGAAGTAAGCACAGGGAGAATCCCTATCATAGCTTGCCTGAGGCTGAAAGCCGTTTGGCTGAAAACTGGTAGGCATGATTACAGGCTGATATTCCTAACAATCCCTCCAAGTAGCTAGAGGCCTGCACCACATATAATCCCTCTTGTAGTGTTCCTTGGTGGCTCAAATGGGACGCAGTAACTCAGTGGCTACGATGCTAAGCTTGTCAATCAGAAAGGTCGGCAGTTTGGCAGTTCGAATCCCTAGTGCCACGTGGTGGAATGAGCTCTCGTTATTGTCCCAGCTTCTGCCAACCTAACAGTTCGAGAGCATGTAAAAATGCTTGTAGAAAAATAGGGACCACGTTGGTGGGAAGGTAATAGTGTTCCGTGTGCCTTTGGCATTTAGTCATGCCAGCCATGGAGACGTCTTTGAACAGTGCTGGCTCTTCAGCTTTGAAATGGAGATGAGCACCGCCCCCTAGAGTCAGGAATGACTAGCACATATGTGCGAGGGGAACCTTTACCTTAACTAGTGTTCCTTGAACTAAAGAAATTGTACCAGATCTCAAAATTGTTCGAGGGTATTGAAGGAATTCTTGATTTTTTTAAACAAGAAAAATAATTTTTCTGATATCAAAATATGCTAAAATATATGTGATGGAATGTAGTCCAGAATCACAGGAGGGAAGGGCTCTTTCTCAGGCAGCGGAAAAAATATTGGTGCTTGGAATCTTTTATGTATAGGAAAAGGAAAAGGCGATCTTCTCCCACTAGACATTTACAGGGTATATCTAATAGTTACACAGTTAAATACTTTAGTCTGGCAAGATTTCTGTCTATAGGCAAACAACAATAAACTACTCAGAAGTATCTCTGAGTGTCTTTCTTGGATCTGACAATATAACACTAATTGGAGCTGAAATCTAGCAATGTGTGAGTGTCTTGCTTTACCTGGCAGTCCCATTAATTCGTCTTCAAAGTTGATTCCCTCCATCATTTCCATATTCTGGTTTAAAACCACCTCTTCAGAAGAATGGCATTTAAACTGTCAAATAATTAGCTCCCTTGGAGCTTGCCAAAATTCATTCAGAATATATTAGCAAAGCTAGATGCATAGAAGTTTTTTTTGTTGCTCAAATTAAGGAGTATCTTTTTTGTCTGCAGATATTGTATTGTGTGCCTTTAGTTTCACCAGCTATCAGCAGATGGGTATCTTTTGGTCATGGAAGAAAAGTACTTTTCACACTATGCATTATATTGCATTGTACTGAGGGATTTCTAAATTAAGAAATGTCAATTCAGAATGTCTTTGGCTTGTTACAAACTGGACCACAGGAACTCTCAAAAGCTATATCATTAGGCTAGAATTTTTCTCTATTGACCTGCCAGAAGCCACACTGAACTCAATTTGGAGTTGCTTCTGGTTAGGCATGTTATATAAGATTTCACTAGAAATGGCATTTTTATCTTGCAGTGTAAAATATTCACAATAATTATATTTATTAATTAAGCAAGTTTCTATGACCTGAATCACAGGGAACTGTAGGTAGCAGATACTAATATTTAACTGGATTAAAGCACTTTTATTGTAAATCTCTTTGATTGTATATTATTGTATCTTTGCTGTTATTGCATTGGCTATGAAGGCTGTCTCTTCAATTGAAGAAGTCAATTGAAACTTCAATTCAAAGTTAATTGATAAATGTTTCAATATAGTAAAAGAAACCCCACTAGTAACAAATAGCACAAAATGTTACATTAATGTATTGGAGCTAATATTAATATTAAAGCTAGGTTTTTACTTGCTTCTGGAAAGTTGTGGAAGTAGGGGCCATTCTCATCTAGAGGGTAGGAAAATACACAATAGGTGATCCTTTAGCCAGCTTTCTCAGTCAGCCAACGCTGAGCCAGTTTGGATGGGGCTTTCTTTTTGTGTGTGTTGGGAGAAACAATCCAAGGGAACCCATTGGATCACACATACCAAGCAAAGAAACAACCTTTCAGCTGGCTCAAAGCCAACGTAAATTTTAAAGGGAAAGATGCTTCCCCTTCTTTGACCAGCAAAATTTGAGCTGGCTGTCAACCATCCCCTGTTCGTCCCCCCCTCATTGGAGAAATCAAGGAAATCCTACGTTCTTTTCCAAACAGTAGTGAATTTATTTCTCTCCCTTTGTGGTTTGGAAAGGATCTGAGCACAGCACATGGAAGGAATTGGTGGGCCAGAAGGAACCTTCTCGAGGCCCATCGGCCGTAGTTTGAAGACCCTGATCTAGCAGATGACAGAGTTGGTTTTGCTACTTTGGTAGGACCAATTCAGAGTGAAAGGGCACTTTAGATAAATACCAGCTACAGATGCTTATACAAGAAGTCATTTTCGTGAACTGGACTATTTATATAGAAGTCTGCATTCTGCTTCTACAATTGTTCCTGCCTTATTTCCCCTTCTCTCTGTTGCGATAGCTGTGATTGCTATCTGTGAATAACATAGACCCTTTCCATCTTATCACAGACATTTGTGGTCCAATAGTGGCTCATTCTGTGGTCAGGAAGATAAACTTTTTTAAAATCTATTTTTGTCTTAGATTCTATTTGAACTTATACAATGAATAGTTTTAAAAGAGAAAAATAGGGGAAATTTCAATTACACTATTTTATTTCATATATTTAGGGATATGCAAGGTTTTGGTGAGATTTATGCTGAAACACTATTAGTTGGAGCAATGCAGTGCAACACATATTTGGCAGCATTCAAACAGCTGTGAAAAAAATTGGTTGAATCTTTGTCAAGATGAAACATCGCCCAAGATGAAGCAGATTCCCGAATTTCTTTATTATTCTTTGTTAAGTTTATGTACTTAGTATTTGAGAGAGCCAGTGTGATATAGTGGTTAAGTCACTGAATTAGGAGTAGAGAGGCCAGGTTCTAGTTTTCTTTAGGTATAGAAACCAGCTGGGTGGCCTTGGCCAGACATTCCCTCTTAGCCCTAACCCATGTCAGGCTCTGTGAGAAGCCAGCTAAAAAACAAAACCCATCATTGCATTAATATTGATGGCTTTGCTGTTAGGCAAGAACAATGCAAGAATAGCTGGATGACTCAAACATGCAGGAGAAATGCTAAGAAGGTCAACAGCATTGTACTCAGCATGTTTCATCGTGACATAAACATGGCTGTTTGGTCATCCCCTTACCTCTTCCTCCCCACCCCAGTCCTGCAGATGCCTACTTGTTGTGTATATTTTGTTGTTTTTATCACAAAGGATGTAATTTTAAACATCCAAAAGAGAAGGCTTTGTGCTCTTCAAATGCTTTGAACTAAGATCTTTCTGTAAACCACAGCTAACATGACAATATTAATTGTAAGTATTCCCCGAGTTGCTTGCTCAGCGACCAAAGTTACAATGGCTCTGAATAAGGGAGACTTATGACTGGCCTATGTAGTTGCAACTATTGCAACATCCCTGTGGTAATGCGATTGCTCAGTGCCTGGCTCACAATTATGTTGCAGCGAGCTGTAGGCAGATGATTATAGGTTTTGTCATTCCCTGCCAGCTTACCCCAAGCAAAGTCAATGGGGAAGCTGACAGGAGGTCACTCCCACTCCCACTGCTCTTTTGCCCACCTGCACTCCGTAACACCTACATGTGACATCCCAACCATTGTGATGCTTGTCTGTGCTCCAGCTCCTGCCCATGGCACCTCCCACAACATTCTATGGAGTCCCATTCTTACCTGGGACTCCTATGTCTTCCCACTTAGAGACCTACTTAGTCTTGGGGTTACAAAGGCAACTGGGACTGCAGGATTGTTATTGCTAATTGATACGGGCTTATAACATCATGATTTATGATCATTTAGTGACAGAAATTTTGGTCCCAATTGCCATTGTTACTTTTAGTTTGGGAGTTGTTGTCCAAAATACTTGGGATTGGACCACTTCTGTTGGTCTACTTCAGTGATGGCGAAACCAGCACTTCCTGGTTTTCAGAGGTCTTCCAGTTGTGTGCCAATCAACTGCCCAGCGCGCATGCTCATGCAGGAAAACAAAGACCAGTTCTTCCAGTTTCTGGCACTGCCGCACACACAAAGGCCAGCTGATTGTCATGTGCACATGCGCGCCAGAAACTCAGAAAAGGAATGGGTGACGCCGCACATGCCAGGCAACATGGCTCCTTGTGCCACTTTGGGCACACGTGCCATAGGTTCTCCATCATGGGTCTACTCTTTTGTATAGAATCATTAAGATCCATCTTGGATCATAAAAGGACATGTGGATTGTGCACATTCTTGCTGACATACATACAAAAACCTAAAGTCTAATAACCTTTGAAGTAATTCCTTCTCTTTAACACTAAGTCCTCAAACTGCTGCTCACAGTAATAGCTTCAGGCTAAATGCTAATTAAAGTCTCCAATTACTGATATAATAGGAAAACAAGGGGCAGTTGTAAAAAGTTGTGTTATGTCTTAAAATAAGCAGAGTAGCAACACATGCAAATCAGTCTGCAGACTACATCCTTTAATGAATGTTTAATATTTGTTAGAATTCACCAGGTTTAATTTTGGAATACTGAGAAAGAAAACACTTCCTATAATCTCCTATAACTTCAGTTTGAATGACCAGATGCTTGTTCAGTAAACTATGAGAGAATAGCTTCATGCACCCACTTCTTGCCCTTTTACCATTGTTAAATATAGTTTGGTAAGTAATAATCACAAGGAACTATACTTAATGTTTTCGAAGTAAGCCAGTGTTAAAGTTAGCTGCTAAATTCTAGCATATTAAGGTGGCATTATTTTAAAAATACAGTATATACTTTCCAATAATCTGTGGTTTTCAGCCACATACCATTTCTATTTTCTAAGGGTATGCTTGAGACATAGGAGTTCCTTTGGGATCCTGTAAGAGTCATTGGGTTTCAGCTTTCCATGTTTTCTCCCTTGGAGCAGAGCCTGTGATTGCCAGAATTATTCCTTGCAGTGCATGGTAGAGAATTATGGCTCTCCCATCATCCCAGAAATTATGGTTTCCTTCATGAGGGAGAAGAGAGCAAACAGTATTGGTCAACCTTGAGAGAGACATCAAACCCATACCTTACATTATCCAAGGAGCCCAGAAAAATGGAAGGTCTGAATTCAGTCCATAAACCACACCTTGTGTCTAGAGAATAAGAACCAACCATAAAGGATTCCATTAAAAATTACTCCATCCTTTTATCCTATTCTGGTTTATTCCGTATTTTTCTCTTTCCATTTAATTACTTGAGAAAATGATTTTACAATATACTTAACTTGCTTGTCTGTAGCTTCATGCGCTGGGAAACTTCCCTTTCGTTTCTTCCTTTCTTAAAATTTCCTTCTCCTTTTTTTTTTTTACCTGTCTCTTTGGGCCACCCCAAATATCTCAAGCAGTACAAGAGACTGAGCAAGAAGATGTTAAGGTGGCAGCAGATCCACAGGCTCCGAAGTCAACCAAAAAACCCAAAGCAGCCACAGGAGGCTGTCAAACAAGCAGCACCAGGAAAGAGAAGAAAGGAAAACAAAAGGGTAAGCTGCATGCCACCCATGGTTGAATAAGAACAAGACGTATCATTTGAAAGGGAACAGTACAAGTAATCCTCGATTTGCAACAGTTCATTTAGTGACTGAAGTTACAACGGCACTGGAAAAAAGGTGACTGGACCATTTTCCACACTTATGACTGCTGCAGCGTCTCCATGGTCACATGATCAAAATTAATACACTTGTCAACTGACTGACATTTATGACAGTTGCTGTGTCTCTGGGTCATGTGATCACCTTTTGCGATCTTCTGACAAGCAAAGCCAGATTCACTTAACAACGTTAGTAACTTAACAACTGCAGTGATTGACTTAACAACTGTGGCAAGAAAGGTTGTAAATTGGGGCAAAACTCGCTTAACAAATGCCTCACTCAGCAACAGAAATATTGGGTTCCATTGTTGTTGTAAGTTGAGGACTACTTGCATTTAATGTGACTGATTTGTTTAAGCTACACATCCTTCAAGAGCATTTAGTAGATGAAGTTTATGTTATCCACGGAAGTCATCTATGCTTTGATTGGTGATTGCATGTCTTCAAACAAATTACAAGATTTTGGGAACATGGTAGTGGTGGGTTGCAGGCGGTACGCTCGGTACAGGCGTACCGGAGCCTGCCCGGAGCACTGGGTACCGTTCCCTCGCTTCTTAAAGGTTTAAAGGTTTATTGCATTTATATGCCGCCCTATTCCCAGAGGGACTCAGGGCGGCTAACAAACCCAGGGAAGGGGGGGGGTAGTAGTACACACAAGGTAACACAAACAGACAAGATACAGAGAAAAATTTTAAAAACAATCAACAGTCACACAATTCGAGCGGGGAAGGGAACTCGTCAACCCCAGGCCTGCCGGAACAGCCCGGTTTTAACGGCTGTACGGAAAGCCTGAAGGGAGGAGAGGGTCCGAATCTCCACGGGGAGTTCGTTCCAGAGGGCCGGAGCAGCCACAGAAAAGGCCCTCCTCCGGGTGGTAGCCAGTCGACATTGGCCTTACCTGTCTTTTAAAGCCTTCGATGCTTCCGTGCCCGCGTATGGCGCCTACAGTGCCTGTACGACGCTCTGCCGAGCAGCTGGAGCGTCTCAGAGGCTTGTGGGGACGTCACTGGAAGGTAAGACGCATGCACGTACTGTGCATGTGCACAGGCACGCCACATGTGTTTATATGGAGGATGCCGGGCCCCATTGCAATCGTAACGGTTGCAACGGGATCCAGAACCCACCACTGGAACATGAAATGTAACATTCTAATAATGATAAAAAGGTCACAATAATGCAGATTAATAAAATTCTCTGCCTTCTTAAAGTTATCTTAACCCCACCTCCCTAAATCTAAATGAGGAAAACTTGTAATCTTTTGAAAGGATGCTCATACTAGTTTCCACAAGTTTCCTAAAGTGGTTAATCATGTGTAGGGCTTGCTGAACCCAACCCACATTTCTGCCAAAAAAATTTTTTTTTTGCAGAAGGATGTTCAATGTCTGTTGTACCAAGAGGTGCTGGTAGTGACGATGGTCAAAGTAGTTGCACTTATGTATGTGAGATGATGCAGTTTCTCTTGTAAAAGCTTTTAAATTGCATTTATTCTCATAA